ATGCATGTGGATTTGGGATTAAGAGTCTCACTGATCATGATTAAAATAAAAGTAATCCTAGTTAACTTTGGTCTCAGCCAAATCTTGTAGTCTTGAAACTCTCAAGATATAAAAGGATCTATCTAACTCCCAAAGGCAAATCAAATCAGATACTATAGGCCTTTAATTGATGTTCAGAGTTAATAGAAACATATATACATTATGTGTAAGGTGTATCTTGGTAGTTGTAGATTTGTAATACTGTTTTTGAGATTAAATTATGCTTAATGGTGTTTGATTGGTGGGGAAAGTGTGTATCTTTATATATTTATTAGCGTATTTTTATATGCTTAATTTTATCGCACTTATCTATTTTTCGAATTATTTATTTCTTTAGATGGATTCTTGCACTTTGATATTTTTATGATTTATTTTTTGAATATTGGAGCATTTTCATTGGCGGCTGAGGAATTAAATAAAAAGAGACATGAAATTGGGCATTCACGCCATCAAGCCCAAATGTTGGTTAATTGAGCCCAATTTGGGCTATTAACTTATTTGAGGAAAAGAGACGCAGCCATCAGGATTGTTTTACTTTGAGAAGTAACCACCAATCATCCATAGGATTTATTTAAAGGGGTTCACACATACGCAGGAAGATTTTTATTTTTATTAGCGAGAAGAAAGAGCCGCCACACAGAAAAAAGGATACGCGGACGGAGAGAAGAAAATACGAGGGAGCCCGACGAATTGCGGAGGGAGGCCGCACCCGCACTCGAAAGGGGATAATTCTATTCTCTTTCTTTTGTTTTTATTTATTATGTTAGAGTAGTTTTTATTTCTAGTTCCGGGGATGTCGAACCCTATGATTTGACGATGTTTAATTAATTTTCGTGGTTGATTATTGAGTTATCTTTTTGGAATTGCTTGTGTTATTTTGAATAATTAACCATGATGTGTTAGTCTTGTTTAGATTGATCACCTAGATTAGGCTTTTCATATCTACATCTGAATTAGGCCTGCAATCCGTAATTGTTGTTGTGTTTAGTTCATAAGAGGTAACCGGAAGATGGTAACTATCGGGGATAACACGGCCTAATTAAGTGAACGAACGCGGTTGAGTTCACTAATTAGTCTAGCCTATTTTTCTAATTCGTAAAGCGGCTAATTGTATTAAATCTTGAAAACGTTTTTCTGGACTGTACAAGAAGTCAGGTTTAATCATCGAGCGTCTCGCGGTTAAATTAAAAATAAGGAAAAATTCGGGTAACTGATCGTGTCGTTGCCTAGGGCTAGTAATTTCATAAGATAGCGAGATTTGATACCAGAATTGATTAGACGAGTCAGTCGAGGGTGTAGACGGAACCGTGAACTAGAAACTTCTCTTTATTTATTCTATTTTATTTTATATTTCCTTTGTTTATTAGGATTTTTAATAAGTTTTGTTTTTAAACCAATCTCCCCCATTTATCGCTTTTTATAGTTTCAATTAATACGAGAAAATTCACGATTTGATTCACACTCCTCGTGGGATCGACCCTTGCTCGCCACTACTACTAGTTAGTAGGGGTTAGTTGAGGAAAAATATAAATATTAATTTTGCCGCGTTGCGACACGCGGTCAAA